GTAGGTATGAAAATGTGCATAGAAGTAACCATTCTTTATTGACACAATCCGAACCTACCTCGACGGAAGTGGAGAGATTTGGAACTTCGTTGAGGTCTTCGGAATACGGATCGTTGCCAACAACGGCAATGACGCAATCAGTATCTAAAATCCCCACCCTTTTGCAATTAAAATTTAGAATAAGTAGATCGCAAGCCATTTGTGAAACATTTCCAACGCCAACGCAGGCAATAAAAAGGGAAAATTTTGATAAATCGATTCCGTTAGTCTCCGTAAGAACAAGAGCCTCCATTGTGACTAGAACCAAACAAGGGCAAAGTTACTCAACCTTTATAATTTTCTGGGGAACAAAAAACAAAATTAATTGGGGCAAAATTTGAAGTGCAAGAAGAGCAAGAACTATCGTGCAAGAAACGAGTTCTATACGTAAGACATAAGACTGCCAGAAAAGCAAAAAAAATACGCCCAGAGCACTGGGCAGCATAAATGACAAAGCAAATAAAATAGCAGTTGTTTCGCTAGAACGACATGCATACGATGCCATAAAGTTACGGGCCAACTCTGTGAACCCCCATAACAAATGAATCACGACTTCTGTTGCAAGTATTCCAACACCGTACACAAGATGAAGTCCTTTGTATATAAATAATATCAACTCCAACACAAAAAAACTGCAGCCTATGTATCCCCCAATATAAAGAAGCCAATTGAGGAGAAATATAGGATAGTTCGAAAGCATGCAGACTCACGAGACGAATAGGGAAAGGCCCCGCCAAGTTACCAAGACACTGAGTCAGACGTGTTAAACCTAAATTAATAAATGAATTAAACACTCAAGTTCACTAAATATTATAGTCAAAAAATCAAATAAATTCTATAATGTGCATGTTTTGCTCTTAGTAGAACCATATCCTTATTGTTTGACTTTGCTATCGGCGTGTCTGGAACCTTCTTACCCCTTGCCGTCATTTTTGTCTGACCCATTTCTTCGTGATGGTTCGCGAGACTAAGTTCTATGACCTTCTGGGTGTCTCACCTGATGCATCAGATCAAGAACTTAAGAAGGCATACCGAAAGTTGGCACTTAAATATCACCCAGACAAGAATCCTGATGCAGGCGACAGATTTAAGGAAATCTCACGTGCTTTCGAAGTACTTTCTGACCCGAAGAAGCGCCGCATTTATGACGAAGGAGGAGAAGAGTCACTTAAGGAAGGGGGCGGAGGTGAAAGTGGCTTCCACAACCCCATGGACATATTTGAAATGTTCTTTGGTGGAGGTATGGGCAGAAGCCGTGGACCACAAAAGGGGAGGGATTCAGTTACTCAGCTCCAGGTTTCCCTGTCAGAGATGTACAACGGCTCTGTTCGCAAGCTAGCTGTCACAAAACGGGTTATCTGCCCTAAGTGTGATGGGAAAGGAGGGAAGCCTGGCGCCATACAACAGTGCAGGGATTGTCGCGGAACTGGTGTGCAGTCCCGTGTTCGCCAACTTGGGCCGGGTTTCATTCAAGAGGTACAGTCTACGTGTTCCGCTTGTCGCGGCGAACGAGTAGTAATCGATGAAAAGAATAAGTGCAAGAGCTGTGATGGAAAAAAAGTTATTAGTAGTAAGAAGCAGCTGGAAGTTCACATTGACAAGGGGATGACCGTAAGTTTTCCCAAAATTCCTTGGTGCATTTGTTCCCTTCATTCTAACCTTTCTTTCATAGGACGGGCAAAACATCCGTTTTGCTGGTGAGGGTGATCAAGAGCCGGGAATCGAGCCAGGGGACATCGTTATCACCCTTGATGAGCAGCCACATGAGAGCTTCGTTCGCCGTGATATGGACTTAATCCTTGAGCTCAAAATATCCCTCTCTGAGTCTTTGTGTGGTTTGGAGCGTACAATCAAGACTCTGGATAACAGAGTCCTCGTAATTCGAACTATGCCTGGTAGGTTTTTCAATAGTTGTATTCTAATTTTTTACCTAATTCTTAATACCTTTCACATCTTGCCTAGGTGACGTCATCCATACTCCTTCTTTCCGCTGTCTCGAGGATGAAGGCATGCCCCGCTACAAAAATCCCTTTGAAAAGGGTCGGCTTGTGATACAGTTTACAGTTCAATTTCCACCCAATGATTTTCTTTCGCAAACCAAATTGAGTATACTCAGAGAACTCCTCCCATCGCCCCTTCAAGTCGATGTTGTACCAGATGACGCGGAGGAGTGCGTTTTGCATGAATTCGATCCAAAGCGTGATTTTAACAGATCTGGCGGACGTAGAGGCGAAGCTTATCAAACCGATGATGATGACAACTGCAGGGGACAACAGCGTGTTCAATGTGCTTCATCATGAATTTGAATAACTCATAGCAATGCTAAAGTGATAATTTTCATCTGAGTCAGATTTCTTTCTTAGCTACAATTGACAATTTCGTTTTTACCTCAATAGCATGCTCGCGCTTCTTATCATTCGAAGACGCGACGGTCAGGGTTTCCCCGTCTAATTTTCGCTTGGTCTTCATTTGCGATGTGGATTGCACACTTAAGTATTTTCTCAGCCATTCCATCCAAATCTCGTTGCTTATTTGTAATTCATTGTGCATGTTCAGGCTTCTCCGAACTAGCTTCCTATCTCGAGATATTTAAATTGATCTAATCATTTGCTGTTATCTTTGGTTTCCTATTCTAATCATTTTCATATAGCTATAGAACTAGGGGGTATGGGCCGCGCGCATTTGCAACTCTTAATTTTGCTCTCCCGGGCAGCCGTCACATGCTGAATTTTCTCGCGTCCTGTCGGCCCATCCGTAGCTTGGCTGCATCTTATCCTCGAGCGGCATCCCGTGGTTATTGCATTCCCTCCTCACAGGGTCTTAGTCTTCCTAATCCCTCGTCACTTTAGATGAGTGTCGCTTTGACTCGTTTTCCTCGTGCTTGCCTTATGGTGAGTATACACTGGACTCTCCTGGCGCGGCTTAGGTACCGGTTTGATAGCATCCCCATCATGTCCGATTCGCAAGTCCCCTAAT